GAAAGCCAAAGACCACAGTCCAACTGGAGAGCATATTTCCTTCGCATGTAAATACTTTGGCTCCCTCCCCTGGCTCCACCTGAAACCGAAAGGAAACAGGACTCTCTGGACCAATATTGAATCCTAAAGTAACTGGCGGAAATTCGAAGGAAGGCAGCCGTTGGGTTGATAATAAACTTATTTACAGCATAGTTTATATACTGCAGATATCACTCATACGACATGGTGTCGTACATTTAACATGCACCCTGCTGTAAAATGCGATACGGCCGCACAACTGGCGGAGGCAAAGCAAGGACCTCCTCCCACTCGAGGAGAGAGAGGTAGGGAAAAACTCCTGATATAACTACAGAAATATAAGTACGTACAAGCATAATGCGATCGTAAAAAGGCTTTTCATTGCGAGCATAAAGTATTAAGCTACTTTGCAGCATCTTTGCATGCATTACCAAGGATAATACACAGACAAGTGCCTCTCTGTCTCTCCACACACGCACAACGGAATCACGTATCCTGCCAGAGATTAGCCAGGGGGAGAACTCCAGCTGCCTGTGAGAGATGAGATCCTTTTGGTGGAAAGAAGACTTCATCGCAGGCTGGAGACTGGAGTTCCAGGGAAGATAGCTCCAGCTCCTCGAACTCCTTGAGCTCCTCGCGAAATTGAATCTGCTGATAAGTTGCCGGGGCGAAAATAAAATTGCCATTAACTGGGATTCGTACTATAGGGGGGGGGGTAAGGAGTATAGAGTCCTTGCATGCAGCCAGGACAAGGACAAGGACAAGGACGAGGACTAAGCCTTGGCCAAAACAACAAACCAAATTTATGAAATACTTACTCCAACCAACCCAACACCCATTCATCCATGTATCCATCCATTCAGCCATATATTCCTTCATCTCTCAGCACTCGCTGTCCGCACGGAAGGATGAATTTACAAGCGCTGGCAAGTGGCCGAAGGATACTTTATATTGCAATGCGTCCACGACGAGGACACTCTAAGTCTCACATATGGCTGTGGATCTGTATAAATACATTTTTGCGTCGCGACTTCAGTTCGGTTTTCGTTTTCAGTTAACTCGAGTCTGAGTTCCTTCCACACACACACCATTCACCCACCCACACATGCAGGCAGGCAGGACGGCCGGCAGGACCTGCACACACACCCAATACACACACACACACTTGCTGGTCAGGCCGGCGACATTTTCGTTTTGGCATTTCGCATGCAATTTGCGGTTCATTGATTCGGAAGTTTTCCCATTTAACTTAAGCCTCTTTAACAATCCTATTGACGCAAATTTCTACTTACCGTTTCCCGGTTGCCGCCGCAGGAGTCGCAGGATGCCAAAAGCGATACAGGGTTGACCCCATCCCCTCCTCCTCCTCCTCCTTGCTCAGGTGTATGTGCCCTTGTTGTTGTTGTCATCGTCGTCGTCCACTTAGGCACAGCGAAGCAGATGTCCTGCAGCCAGCAGAGATGCCATATGTCCAGCATCAGGCAATGCTCGATAATTATACATAATAATGCCGATGGGTCGTTATTCTGACCTGCAAACCGATAGATCTTAACGAGTCCTTTCGCCTGCTCTATTATTATATACATAATAATGCCCATGGATCCGTGCGATGACATTGCTCCTACTTCATGTTAAGAAATGGTCTTATCCGCTTGATCTGGTTAACAAAAGTTTTGGCCAAGTTAATAAGTTAATGAATTCCGCAAGGGAAAACATGCATACATGTCCCGGAGATGGAGTACTTCCAGTCGCTGCCAGGAACATCATCAAAGTAACCGCTGTTGCTGCCGGATTCAGACACATCAGCATCATCATCATCATCATCATCATCATCATCACCATCGATGAGCTGGCCATCAGGGAGCCGAACAGCAGAGCAAAATGCCGCAAAAGGATGCTCCAAAGGACACACGGAACGAGGAGCAACGAGCAGTAAACCAAAGCGCCAGCCGCTGCTCCAAGGACAGGTGCAATGTGCAATCTTTTGGTATTTTGTTGGCTTTACACATTTGGCGTAATGCCAAAACACAATAAAAAAAAAAAGAGGGGAAAGAAAACGAACAGGAGAAGAGGTATGAAAGCAAAGGTAAGAAGTAAGAGGGGACCAGGACAAGGGAAGGATTCTTCTTCTACGAAAAAGCAAAAACAACTGCGGCAGGACGAAGACAATGCCAACTCTCGACTCCACTCAACACCTGAACTGAGCTGGAGTTGAGGAGAAGGGCAAACACTTGAAGGCGAACAGCGCGGCACCCACGCGAACCGGGAAACCGGGATGAGCACCAAGGACGTGCATTCATTCAAATCGACTCCGGCGCCCAAGCTGGGAAAAGGAATTCATTTTAATGCACAGGCAGCAAAGGCTGCAAGTGGATGAAGTGGGTAATGGGAGGTCCTGGGAGGGTACTGGGAGGTACTGGGAGGTACTGGGAGGTACTGGGAGGTAATGGGAGGTACTGGAAGGTACTGGGAGGTCCTGGTCGTCGTTGTCTGAGCCAGGAAACGTTTGACGGTAGACAGAGGCAGGGCAGAGGGAGTGGGAAAAGGTACCAGGGAACCGGAAAAAGGTGAGGGAGTACGAATTCTAGATGTAACAGGAGCAGGAGTGAGTCGATTACGGCTGCGTGTGGTGCGCCAAGATGAGCCTGCCTGCCTCCATAGTCGCTGCCTTCCCCTTCATCCTTGTCGGTGGATTTAAACGGCCAAAGTGCAATCCAGAAACACAACACACGAGCACAAACACAAACACGGGCACAGTCAGAGTCGGAGTCAAAGGAGCTGCTCCAAGTGCAGGTGCAACTCCAGCTACAGCTGAGGTGGGAAAAGGACAAGGCAAGGACAAGGAGACACACTGGCTGGCAAAAGCATAGCGCCAGCTACAGACGAGCCAAGTCTATGAGAGAGAGAGAGAGTCTATAATTTTTGTTGTGGTTCCTGTCTATTGTCTTACCAGAGCCCCCTCTCTATCTCTAAGCGGTCTCCTTCGACAAGGACAGCAGCTCCTCCTTCTTCAGGTTCCACCAGCTCCTGCTCCTCCGTTAGCTAGGGAAATGAGCCATTCGCGTGAATTACTGAAATCGGATCTGCCCGGTTTTTCCGCCGCCCCCCCAAAGGAGTTTACTTTGGACTGACTCCTGCGGGATCTTCTTCTTTTTGGCTTTAAAGCTACCTGGGAGATTATGGGATGAGGATCCTTCATGAACTCTCAAAGCATGAAAAACAAGGTTTTTGGGTAACATTTTAAATGGGTTATTTAATTATTCATGATATTTACATATAAGCAATTAAAGTTGAGAAATTGACTATTATAAAGGTAGTATTTGTATTTTAATATAATATCAACAATGAAATAATTCGAATTTTGAGAAAGGAAACTAACTTTTGGGAAGCTGTATTTTTATATGACATTTTTTTTCAACAAATTCAAATCTTTAAAAAACTCATAACTTGGCCAAAAAGGCATTAATTTAAATTCGAAAGCATTCCTATGTTAGTTTTTACTAGGTTTACAAATCTACATACTCAATAAAAAATTTTAAAACATTAAAATTTTTATCAATTTTTGACAATTTTAATGATGTAACCCCTTATAAAATTTATAAAATTTTGAAAAAATAAATTTTTTGTCCGACATAGCCAGTTTGACTCGGCTGTTGACGCTGATCAAGAATATATATGATTTATAGGGTCGGAAATGACTCCTTCACTTTCTTTCAGCTTCTGATTGAAGGTCCATTACCATTTTTGTACCGATATTAACGATATTATTATATTAAATTTTTCGACAAATCAAAATTTAAAAATCTCATAACTAAGCCAAAAACGCATTAATTTCAATTCGGAAAGCGGCCGTATGCTAATTTTTAGCAGGTTAACAAAACTGCATGCTCCATTTAAAATGTGATTTTTTGGCCGATTTTCCTAAATTTTCATGATGTAACCCCTTTCCTTTTTTTACAAAAATGGGAAATTTCTGAAAAAAATTCTGTTTTCGATCGGAGATGGCTAAAAAGATTCGCCTGTAGATGCTGATCAAGAATATATATGATTTATAGGGTCGGAAATACCTCCTTCACTGCGTTGCAAGCTTTTGACTGCAAGGGTATAAAAAATAATATATTCTGATAATATTCTAGGTAACATTTAATTTTTCTTGAGGCTAAAAGTAACGTTTAACTTGAATTATCTATTAAGTGGCTTAATGGCTTATGCGGCTCAATCGCTTGCCATTGCGTTTAGACCATTTAAAGTCCCTGTTACGAAATCTGTAAGAAATAATTTTTGAAGTTAATAGCTTCCGCCGCCAACCGCCTGACTTCGATGTTGAGGACTTTCTGGTCGTTGCCGAACATGCCGCTGGATGCGGGGGAGTAAAAGCTGCTGTCCAATGAGTGAAAGCTCCTGGAAACCATCTCCTGTCACAGCGCCTGCGCCGATTGAGTGCGTCTCAAAATGTGGGTGGCACCAAAAATGAGCTTGAGTGTTTTTCCCTATATTTTTATTATTTCATTTTCCGCAGGAGCCCAAAATATTTCGTATGGGGTTTCGCTATTCATTAATGGTTATAACGAATCCAGAATATCGCATATAGCTGTATATATACTATATATGCTTTACTTTTCTTAAATATAAATGAATTATTTGCTTGGAAGCAAATGATGGTTCAAACTGCGCGCCACACCAGAATGGGCTAGCTAACGATAACCGAAGCAAAATTGTTATCGCTGCAACTCATGCTTTCTGAAATTAAAATAAACCCCTAACAACCACCACTTTCTGAGATTGCAAAGTATAGATTGCAGCAAATAAATTTTCTTTTTATGAACAAATTAAACAAAACCAATACTAAACAAAATATGAAATTAAATTAAAGTTATATATTCAAATTCATAATATCGATAGATACATCCCCTTGTTCCGTTGCCAGCATTTCGGTCAAAGAACTGTAGACTATCGTTATCGCACTATCGATTTTCAGTGTGTATCGATGCACTTCTGACATCGCTACCAAAAAAATAAACAGAATCGGTGGAAAAAAAAGAAAAACAAGAACGAAAAATACAACAAAAGCGCACCTACAGCAGCTAGGCGCGCATGCAAATACCTAACTACTAGGCCACCGGTCGCATCCTGAACATGTCCTGCGGCGAGAGACGCAGCGCCTAGACCAGCGCCGCCGCCGCCCCCGGGAGCGCCCTGCTTGCCACGCAATTATGCAAGTTGCAGCCGCGGAATTAACTGTACTCGCCTCGCTGCCAGTGGAAGTGGAAGGGGAGGGCTGGAAGAGCAGCACCCAGAGTCGGTGAGCAGGAGGCAGAGCACCATCCTCAGTCCCATCTGACCCCCATCCCCTTCTGCATTCGCAGACATGAGCCAGAGACATTCCGAGCCATTCTACATATCGCCCCGGCTGTTCGACAACCGGCGGCTTAAACGGCGTCGCTGCCGCTGGATGGAACGTTTGCGCGAACGCCAGCGGGTCTGCATGGCCCAGATGCGCGTCCAGGCGATTACCTCCAAGACTGATGGCCGGCGGCAGCGCCGCGGAGGCGCCGCCCTGCCTGCGGCAGTGACCATTGACCTGTTGTCGGACGACGACGAGGACGAGCAGGAGGCGGCTGGCCCGTCCGCCGGCCACAGCCGCCTGCTGCTAATTCCTACTACTGCCCTGACAGCGCGTCGTCCACCAGTTAGATTGGGACGGCGTCAAGGAAACGCCGCTCAGCCACAGACAACGTTCCCGATCCCAACCGAGAGCATTCTAATAACCAGCGACGATGAGAACAATGGCCACCTAACGACATCGGGCCGGCTGGTGTCTATGCGGACGCGCTCGCCCCCGCCGCTGGCACCGCTAACGCTTTCGGATACCATCGAGGAAGTCACCGTGTCGCTGGTGCCGCGCAGCTCCACCACAGCCAACTGTCAGGCGCGCCAGATGCGGAACTCATATCTTTACAAGACCATGGCTACAGCGCCGCCCACTAATGGAGAAGGAGGCAGCAGCTCAGGCGATACGAGCGGTTATCTGGAAGTGGATGTGGGCGGTGCCATAACGGCCACGCTGCCGGATGAGACCACCGTCCACACGGTCATTGCCAACCGCATCTACGAGCTCTCGCTTAGCAAGCTACGCGAGGGCCTGGCCTCCAGCGGTGTGCCGGAGTACTCGCATGATCTGCTGCCGGAGCAGCTGCAAAAGCTATCGCCAGCGCTGCGCGCCAAGGTGGCGCCACTAGTGGCCCCGTCGCCGCCCACGCCCATCTCGCTGAAGCTGTCCAGCGACCTCAGCATATCACTGATCTCAGATGACGATGACTGCGAGAGTAGCAGCGGTCCGCAGGCCAACAGCAGTGGTTCCAGCGGTAACGGCGGAGGAGGATACAAGTCCGAGCTAGTACATCCGGTCAAAGTGGCCGCAGCGGAGGCCCATGCGGCCGCCAAGCTGCTCAAGCAACAGCAGCCACAGTTGTCGGTGGTGCAGCACCTGCAATATGGCGGCGGCGGTCGGACGGTGCCGGTGGCCCTGGCTTTACCGGTGATGGCACAGTCTACGTCGTCATCCTCGGCAGCGGTGGCCCTTCCTGTCCTCCAGTTGCCGCGACGCCGTAAGCTGGGCTAAGACCTTGGGACTTGTGGCCATAATGTAAACATTCCCCCAAGTAGACTTTACTCTTAGTGCAAATATGGAAGTAGGCTTAGTCACTCCCACAGTTTTTCCCAGTTAGTTATGCTTATTATTTTCTCCCCCTCAATCTCTTTCTTTCTCTCTCTTACGCACTCTATTTCTTTCCTTATCAACCCCTACCTCTTCCTGTCTCTGTCTTTCTCATATTTTAAGCTTTAAAAAGGAACGAGATGCAACGTACAAAAAGAAAGTAGAAAGAAAGACTTCATCTTTCGCAATACAACAAAATTGTAAAATTTATATAGGAGAGAGTATGCAAAATAGGAGAATATAAGGTGGAATGCTACGGATATTCCGCAAAGAATATTTCGAAAAGAACCCCAATATTTATACCAAGTACAAGTAGGTTAGTTTAAGTCTTATATTAAGTGTGATTAAGCGAGGATGGAGACCCTTCTCTGTATTACATTTACATTACAAAACTGATTACCAAAATCGGAATAAACTTGCTCTTGTATATATACCTGTACGGGCCTTTTGTTTACACAGCCGCTGGAAATAGGATTATCTGCATTTTCGGTAAGTCCTTGCAAGATCAAATCAAGGGTGTTAGTTGCATCTACGATTCTCAGCATTAGCTATATATCCCTCTGATTAGGATCCCTCCTCAAGGTTCATTGCGACAAATAACTGAGAGGCGTCGCCTCTTCACCACTCGACTATTTCCAAACCACGACTGCTCTTGGTCCAGAACCTCATGCGTAAACTGGTAACGCGCCACATGGCTCATTATATACAGCGATCGACGTGGCAGGAGTACATCCGCGACTCTGTGCTCCGTATCCTTGGCTACATCCTTTGAGGAAACCTTTGCCAACCTCATGACACAGTCGCTGAGCAGGCTAAGACCTGCAATGGTATGGCCACAGAACTGAAGGAAAATGGAAGTTAATGTAATGAAGAAACGAGCCTAGAGCCTCACCCGAACACTGTCCACGTGCGGCTTGATGACGCCCTCCTCGGTGAGGTCCAGAATGTGAACATGGGGCATTACCTGGCCATTGAAGGCGGTCTTAGAGACCCTATCCAAAACGCTGCGATTAGCCACTGTCCAGTCTCTCCGCTCCGATTCCCGGTAACCATGAATGGCCTGCAAAGGTAAAGGTTATGAGTACTTGGAAACATTACATATTGGACAATACACACACATCATCCCAATGGCTGGACTCGTAGGGCAAACGTCTGAGATGGGGCTCTATTTCCTGGACCAGGCCCAGCTCCTCTTGCTCACTGACAAAGTCCTTGATAACCCGCATATCCGCTTCGAACACTTGCTTCTCTAGTGGCGTCCAGTCGCCGGAAAAGTGAAGCAGGCTGAGGCGACGCAGGATGCCGGTAGAAGGCAGTCTTCTGCCCAGGAGCAGCATGTTGTTGCGTTGCGTCAGAGGAGTAGGATATTCCTCTATCGATTGGAGCCATTCGATAGGCACTGCCAGAGGATACATCAGCCAGGGGAATCCCCAGCAGGCGCTGCCACTACATCGCTTTTGCTGGTCTGGGAGCACCGTGAAGCACACTCGATTGGATGGCCCACGCATGCGCCGGAGCCAGGCTCGCCTTCGAGTTAGGGCGGAAACGCTTTCCGGTGTAGATATTCCAGAAATATTTCTGCTCTCCAGCCGAACTGCTGCGACGAGCTGGCCGGAGCTGCTGCAGGACTGAAGCTGGGAAGCTGGAGCTGAGTGCAGATTGTGGAGTGTCCACCAGTGTCGCGAGTGGTGTCCAAGTTTCCAATCCAAAGCGTATTGAACGGTTTTTTCATTAAAAGCACACGGCTGCTGACGGTGAGAGCTCCGAGAGCTATGAGCTACGGTGGTGGTGGTGCTGGCCCGTTAATTGTGGAACCTTCTTAATCGGCAAGTGCGTAGAGCAGAGAGTGCGGTGTCCAGAATCCCGGAGTCCTTGCCGGCGGTGGTGTCCCAGTATCCACATCCACGCCCACGTTCCGCGTTCCAAGGGCCCCGTTACCGGAAAGTCGCACTTAGCAGTTTGTGAGTGTGTGAAGCGTGTCGGTGCACTGGACACCCTGCGGGCGAAAAGGAAAACGGGATAACGGTAAAACGGGGACACCGCACCTACAAAATCTAATCTAAAATTCCTTCAGATACCCGCAATTATGGCATTGCGAGCCATGTAGAGTGTGTGTATACACAACACACACACACACGCACACACCCCGCAGCCGTACCCCCTGTTCGTGTGCACTGAAAAGTATACCATGTACATATGTAATGTACGTCTCCTTTCTCCACCTCTCTGTTTTGGGTACAACAGGCAAAGTTTATGTGTACTCTCTCTGTACATGCATACATATGTATGTACATACAGGGATCACCCTGTGTCTTCCCCTCCCTTCTCTATTGGAAAGAAAATGTGTTAGTTTCCTTGTTTTCTTACGAGTTTAAGAGCTTTCTTTGGCAAAATGATCCCAGGGCTCATACCGATGCAGCATGAGCTCCCGTTCCAAGCTCCAGTCACGCCTCTAACTCGGTCCCGCGCCTCTCCGTGTCGCCGCATCCAGGAGTTTGCGCACTCCCTTCACCTGGCCTCGTCGTCATTCGTTCCGTTGCATGCTTCTGCATCGGGCAAGACACTGCGAGAAATTCCACCACACCCAATTGCGAGCATGTAGCCGATGAATACATGCTCGTTGGCGTCCTGGTTTATCTACACCAGAATCCCTAAAACAATGACCATAGGCGGCTGCTGGTGTGTGTGTATGTGTTTGTGTTTGTGTTGTTGCCGGTGCCAAATGTAAACAAAGCCGTTGACAAAAATTAATGTACAAATATTCTTACTTTCTGGTGACAGCCCTTAAGCAAGCGGCAGGATGCTGATCCGCTGGAAGAGCAAAGACAAGAGCGCCTCCTCCAACCAGAGCGCCTGTGGCAGCAGCTCCTCCTCGAAGAAAAAGCGCAAGGGACGCGATGGCGGTGAGTACTGGGGAGAGAGAACGAGAGAGAAAGCACCGTTACATAGCGTGAAGCCCAGTACTGGCCACTGCCAGTGTTGTAAAATATCTAATGGAAGCCCTCTTTTTCAGAAGAAGATTGGCAAAATGAGAACAAATCGGGACGAATGCCACCGAATGAGCAGGGTAAGTGTCTGCTTCCGATATAGTGCATCATTATGTGTCTAACCGGGAGTCCTACTTAATCGCAGGTGGTGGCGGTGGAGGCGGTGACGAACGACGCCGGGCCATGCGACGCGACGATCCGCGACGGCACACGCTTGGTGGCGACATGCTGGTCTACGGCGGCGGCTCCCAGCACCAGCATCCGCATGCCCATCAAATGGCGCCCCAGCAACAACGGGCCATGGACCTGGAGGTGAGCAATCTTTTTGATTACCCGCTGCTAACCGTAATCCGAATCCAAATCCTTGCCTGTAGATGAGCACACGGGCGCAGAGGAACAAAAAGAATCAGCCCATGCGTGGCTATGCACCCGTCAACCAGGGACCCCTGTTCGATGACGATCCCGGGATCATGTCCGAGGTGGAAACGGCAAGCACTGGTTTCCGTAGGGGCGGCAAGCAGCGCTCCTCGCTCCCCGTGGTCCGTACGCCCTCCAAGACGCTGGAGCGGCCGCTAGGGCTGGTTTTCCTCCAGTACCGCTCGGAGACGAAGCGCGCCCTGCTGCCCAACGAGATCACCTCGATCGATACGGTGCGTGCCCTGTTTGTGCGCTCGTTCCCTCGCCAGCTGACCATGTCCTATCTGGAGGGGCCGAATGTGAAGATCTACATACACGATGCCAGCAAGGATATGTTCTATGAGCTGGAGGATGTACGTTCGCATCTGCGCGAGATACGCGATCGATCCGTGCTGCGTCTGTTCGAGTCCACAGAGGTGGCGGCTCCGCCACAGATCCTGCCCGGTGGCCCGGGCATACCGCAGCCTCTGCCGCAGGCCCAAGCGCCGGCAGCCAACTGGGATCAGGATCAGAGCTATTTCAGCGAGCCGGAATTCGATTCGGACTACAAGCACCAGCACATTCACAAGTCCAAGGTGAGTTTTTATACATATTTGGTTTAAATTAATCCTTTATTCAATATCACCGCGTTGGGGCTTAGAGGGTTAGGCTTCGGGCTGATGGTGTCCATGGGCGAGTCAAGGATTGTTCGGGGCAGGCCATGAGCCGCTACTCTAAAGCATTGACTCCCGCATGGACAGGCAGAGAGAGACGAGGCGAAGAACGTGAAGCGGGTTACAAAAAAAAAAAGAGAAGGGGATTTGCAGAGGTGAAGCTTAAACTCGAGTGCAACTAGAAGTTACCGCAGGGACCCACTGTCAGCCCCTTGAGCGCATTATTCATATGCTCCTGGACATCCTTCCACGCAAATACAATAGCCCCCTGGAAGGGCTCCGCGTGACAGCTACCACAGATGCCCATCACCGCCTTGACCTCCTCCTCGGCAGGTTCACGGTCATGTGTACTAATCTCCTCCTCCAGGCTCATCTTGAGCGTCAGATCCTGCTTAAACTGCTGTCCACCAAAGTCGGCCAGGCCGTTATATATCTCACTGGCAGCGCCTGTTGTACCTGAGCCAGAACCGGAGCCATCATCCACCACGGAACCATCATCGAGCAGGACCAGGCCACGCTTATGCAGCTTCTTGTCAGCGCCACCAACCTCCCGCTTGAACTGTATATGAGTCTCGGTTTCATCGATAAACTGCACGTTGGCCGAGTTGCTCAGCATCTGGAAACGATTCCGACCTGGAGCTGGAGCAGCCTGAGATGGCGCAAGGCCCAGTAGCTGCTGGGCCACCAGGCGGGAGCCGGCATTGATTTGGCCATTGACAAAGTTTGTGTTGATGGTGATGGCATCGCCTGGCGAAGCAGCACCAGCAGGAGCACCAGGCGCAGATGCAGGCGTTGGATTGGCCAGATTGATGCGCACCCGAGTGGGGATTTGACCACTTGCCAGCAGATTGTGCATGGGCTGGGGACGATTGATCTAAGGAAGAGAACAGCAAGGAGAAGAGAATAAGCAAGGAGTCTGGGAGATTTAAGCATCCCTTACCGTTGGCGGAGCCCGAGTGGTGCTCGATACCTCCAATCCCTCGTGATCAAAATGATGGACATGATGATGCTTATGATCCCGATGCGCCTTCCCCGCACTAAGAGCCACCCGATAGACCTGGACCAGTGTCATCTCAAAGTGCAGACCGTGGCTAACCTCGCCGGTGACGGAGTTGCCGCCGGAGCGCAGTTTACCATTTGCTGGTATCTTGTGACCCACAAGCTCAACAAGGAAAAACAAAGTAATTAATGTTTGAGAAAGAATGGGTGGAGCTCCGCCATCTCCTCCTCCTCCTCCAGCTACTACTTATACTCACCGAATTGTGAAAGCCACGCCCTATGCGCTCCGCCTTAAGCCAGGCCTGCCACTCGCCCGTCTTGCCATTCCAAGAGCTGCACATATGATGCCACTGTCGCATTTTCAATGGATAGTTCAATCTTCACCAGACCGGAGCAGAAAGAGGCATTAATTAGCTGTGGATGAACGCCATATAGTCACCGAATACCGAATCTCACCTGAACATTTGCTGCCCCTTTATGGCCATCGAAAGGAAACTGGAATTTTGCGCATTCGCGACCCAGATTTGTATCTCGCGCGGTTCCTTGCCAGCTGTAGATAGATGGATGGATCAGACTCGCTTTCAAGCCAATTATGGTTGGTCATGGCATGGATATGATGATGAAATCGAAGCGTAATCCCGCGAATCTAGCTCAAAGACAGAACCAAAGTCTGGATATTCCTAACCCCCATCTTCTGGCCAGAGAGACGCAACCGATCAGGAAGCCCGGTTATACAAGAGCTTGGGGAGAGCTGTAGCTGAAAGTCTACGAAAATCCTGTTAGGCTGTTTAGCTCGAGACCGCTGCATACGATTTAAATATGAATCACCTGACTGACCAGCGCTTGGCCTGCCTCTGAAAATCATTTCCTAGGCAGGCGGAAGCCCGACTAACGTCGCCGTTGCCGCTATTTCAATTGATGCTGAGACTGAGGCTGAGGCTTAAGCTTTGCCTTTGGAATTATGTCAAATGCTAAAGCCGCCGCCTTAGCTTCCAGCCTCAGCTATAGCTCCCAGCTTTGGCTTTAGCTGCTCACCGACACCGACACCGACACCGAGAGACCAGCAACAATGCCGACGACGACATCCAACTGGAAACAGGTAAATTATCGCTTATGTAATGCGACCGCAGCGGCGACAACAACAAACTTGAACAACAACCAACAAGTGGCAGAGGTGGCGGCAGCAGCGGCAGCGTCATGGGGCATAGAAAAAAATTGTTTAGAAAATGAAGACAAGAAGCTAAGCTAAGCTAAACAAAGCTAAAGCAGCAGCTAGACAGCTCCAAAGAGTGACTAACTCTACCAAGATTCCCCTCCTGACACTCAAGAGGTTCAAGCATCATCGTTGACCATCAAATCTTGGTAGCAACCTGTCGTCTTAGAGCTTGTGACTTAGACTTGCATCAGGAAGTGGGAGCTTCCTTTCACTTTCCCAGCCACAGCCAGGTGCGAGCGCCAGAGCGTGGCCCACAAATTTCATTGCCCGCCAAGCGAAGGTCTCTTTAACACCAGCAAGCTCTAGTAGTGGCCCATCAAAAGAGATTGACGCCCGTCGCTGGCCAGCTTATGCAACACACCCCAGCCCCGGTTAGTTCCCTCCCCTCCTCCAATGTAAGTCATCATCATCATCATCATCATCATCTGGTCACTCGGTGGAGCCCATTGTCAAGCCACTAAAGCAAGTCACGGTGAGAGGCGGCATGCAAACAGCAACGCCTCACCTCAAAACCCCAAAGTCTCCCCAAGTCGTGTAGTGATTGACCCCCTACTTACCCTCGTAGGTCAGGAGGACATGGTCGCCGCTGTGATTGGTGAAACGCATCCAGAAGCAAAGCGTAAACTGATCCAGTTCCGGCAAATGGTTGCCATATTCCACCTCGCCGTCCTGATTGAACGCGAACTTCTTGACGCTGCAACGATTGGCGCCATACAGAGGTGTTCGCGTGAAGGTCAGCGCATCCTTTGGGTTTGCCTCGATATCCTCTAAGCTATAGGATTCATACTGATCGTCCACATGATCACCAAAGGTAATGGGATGTGCGGCCGAGACTGCACCGCCGGCTGTGTCCACGGCACGGGCCAGCAAGAGTTCATCCTCGACCTCGGAGGTCTCCTTGTCGCCGCTAAACTGTGAGAAGCTGGTGGAGATCTCGTGACTGCTGCTGGCCTCCCCCGGATGGGATTGCTTGAGACTGTAGGCGGCAGTGCTGCCGCTGCTCGAACTGACAGCGATTGGCTTCCAGGCCAGGACATCGAGGGTGTCATTTAGCAGCAGCACAAGGCTGAGCAAGGCCAGAGTTCGGGTCATTTCCAATGCGGGAATTGTGCGGAGGATGCCACAAAACCGAGTCAAGGGGGGAATGATGCCTGAAGATCGGAATCAAAATCGGGATCTCTTGCACGTCCGATTGGCGCGATGTCTCGGACTTCACTAATCATCCACGCATGCGCCGCGGCCAGGTTGAGTTGCGGCGCCGAAAATAACAACAGCAGCAGCAGCGTTTGAAGCTTGGAGCAGCAGCTCGGCCCAACTGGTCCCACGTTGCGCTCTGCGTCGGTTGTAACGAATTACGAATTGTAACTGCTATATTGAAATTGAAACTGGTTGAGGTCTGTCTGTCGACGGCTATGACCGTAGCAGGCGGCGTCGACGTTGCAGTGAGCCAACCAACTTGCACTTGTTGCACTCAGCACTCCACTCCGGGCCAGGTAATGCCTGCACTTGATGTGTAATCGCTGACGGCGGATGAGTCCAACCAGATCGGCACGTGCCATCTATCCATCTATCCAATCCCGAACATCGAACACCGAACCCCGAAAGGGAAAGGCGGGTATAGGAAAGGGAAAGGGCTTTCGTTTGGATCGCAATTGCTGTGTGGATTTGGCAAAGTGATTGGTTGTTCGCTTTGATGATCGATCGCATTGGGTGGGTCAAATGGCAATTAACGGGTATTCATCAGAAGCGACGACGACGCGTCGATGGCCCTGGCACTCGACCAAGTTATTACACAGAGAGAAAGAAAGCTAAAGACTGTATAAGTACCCGTTTCTCCCCCAAATATATAGCTTAAATCTGTTAATTTATTAATTCATGTACCCCAAGTTTTCTCTACGTGTATGCCCAAGTGCTTTACGTGTTTCGGTACGCAATCTTATTTTTGGGATAGGCCACACAAACACCATTGGACATTAAAGAGAGGCAAAACCATGGCTAACATTTCGCTACTTGAACGAAGGCCAATTGGCAAAGTTAGGCAAAAACTATATACATTTGTGCCCTTGCCCCTTGTCTCTGTACCTTTTCACTCACTTAAAACCCCAACTAATCCTCTGTTAATTCATCTTTTGTATCTTCCAGATTGGCAAGCAGCCGGCTCCCTACTATGTGGGCTCATCGCAGACCCTGCCACGCGGCATGTACTCCTCAGAGCGTAACAAGGTGTCAATGGGTGCGTACCGTAGTCCAAGATCCCTTTAATCTTTAGGTTTTTCCCTTGGCTTTTGGTATTCTTACCCCCCTCTTACTTGAGTTGACCCAACGACTCCCTGTCCTGGCTGCAACTGATCCTTGCTTCCTAAACCACCCACCCACTCTCTCTCTAGATCTCTATATCTCTTTCGAGTTTAGTTCTGTGTCTAAATATGATTCATGTCCATATTCATTAACCCCCCAAAAAAAAAAATAATATTAACACTCACTACAACAACAACAACAACAAAGGAGCGCCTGTGAAACCACTCAGATCACTCAATCCAAGGGGGGGTAGCATGGAACCCCTGTTCCCCTACACCCCGGATCAATTATACAGCATTCCAGGTACCCAAGAATATATATGTGTTTATGCCTTTCTATATACACTTGTAGCTAAGATTGTGTACGACATGGAGGGGAAAATCAGAGTCGCCCACATTCTCCACACACATGACAATTCTACATTCCATTATCATTCCATTGGCTTGTCTTGCTTCTTGCTGGAAATTATACTATATGAATATATATATTGTATATTATATGTCGGAGATATTTGTCATTAGTTGGAAACATAAAGAGAGTCAGGTTTATAAACTTTGCTTGACCGAATGTGCTCCTAGTTAGCCATAACAGAATGTATACATATATTAGATACTATATTGTACTGTATATGAAAGTCGTATTTGTATGCAAAATACGCCATTTGATATATTGCATTCAATGTGCGGTAAATACATATTTTGTTAGTTAGATTGGAACAATTATATTGGAAAAAGAGACTTGTAAAATAATAAATACTCATAAATATTGATTATTATATATTTTGCAGGGAATTCATATTTAAGTCAACAGCTTCCAACGTAGTGAAGGAGCCATTTCCGACCCTATAAACTATATATCATACATTCTTGATCAGCATCAACAAGCGAATTTTTCTAGGCATGTAGGAAAGAAAATAAATTTGGTAATTTTTTCCAAATTTTATAAGGGATTACATCGTTAAAATTCTCAAAAATACAGATCAAAAATTTAAGAAATTTTACATTTTAAAGTTGATATGCAGATTTATTAAGCGCTTAAAACCTAGCATAGAACTCTTTTCCGAATTAAAATTAACGATTTTTTAAGAAAGATATGCCATTTTTAACTTAGATTTTCTTGCACTTTTTAATCGGTTTTAATCAATATTTTTATATACAATTTTGTACTAAAAATTAAAGCTTAAAAACCTCATAACTAAGCCTAAAATGCATTAATTTCAATTCGGAAAGCTGTTCTGTTCTAGTTTTTAATAGGTTAATAAATCTGCATACCAAAATTGAATTTTTAAACTATTTAAAATTTTGCCGATTTTTCATAATGTTAACAATGAAAAAAAGGCTAAAAAAAACTGAAAAAAAAATTTCAAAAATTAGTTTTTCCTCTTTTATGCCTAGAAAGATTCGCCTTTTGATGCTGATCAAGAATAAATATGATTTATAGGGTCGGAAATGACTCCTTCACTGCGTTTTGAGCTTCAGACTAAAACAATAATACCATTTTTTGAGTCTATTTTTTGATATTTTTATATGACAATTTCTTCTACAAATCAAAGCTTAAAAAATTCATAATTAAGCCTAAAATGCATTAATTGCAATTCGGAAAGCTGTTCTGTTCTAGTTTTTAAAAGGTTAATAAATCTGCATACCAAAATTGAATTTTTAAACTAGTTGAATTTTTTCCGATTTTTCATAATGTTAACAATGAAAAAAAGGTTAAAAAAAACTGAAAAAAAATTTCAAAAATTAGTTTTCCTCTTTTATGCCTAGAAAGATTCGCATTTTTATGCTGATCAAGAATATATATGATTTATAGGGTCGGAAATGACTCCTTCACTTTCTTTTAAGCTTCTGATTAAAATTCTAATACCCTGCAAACGAATAATACTGAAAAAAAATTTAAAGTGATAACAGGTTTAAAAGTCACATAAAATTGAACAGAAAAAAGTTTTTTGAATTAATTAGTTCTACTATCTAGATTTCAAGGAACGATTCTAGAGATTGGCATTGAAAACTTATAAAGATTTTTCGTTCGACATGTATATATATTTATAACTTTATCTGAATGCGTTCCAATCATATGCATCCTTCATTCCGAATCGATGTTGAATCTCATTCTTTTGCTTTCCTTTTGCCTCAATTAAATTCCAAATTGATAACTCAAAGCTACGTTTTAGGGAAGACCAAGATCAATGTGCTTACTAACCCCGAGTGTGACTACCTTTTGCAGACGGCTACACCAGTTCCCCGGAGCGGAGCAGCCGCGGCAACTACGAGGAGCCCTACTACAGTCAGTATGGAACACGGGGCCCAGTGGTGGCGCCCATCATTGACGAGGAGCAGAGGTGAGTCCCAGAGGGAGAAAGGGTGTGAGAGGAGTGCTTTGAATGCTTTAAATACTTTGAAATACTTTCTTCACAGCGATGGAACCATGACGGAGGATCAGTACGCCCTGTACGGAATCAAGGTGGGCGGTGGTCCCAATCGTCTAGCGCATCGCGGCAACCAGATCTACGATCCCACTAGGTGAGCATTCTCCCACGCATGGCCTTCATGTACGAGGCATAGTCCTGCTGCAGCAGGAGAAGATTGCTTCCTTGCTCCCTGGAACTTCGTTTGCTGCGTCGATAGATCTTGATGCGCTTCACATTGCCATTATTGGAGGTGGTGGTGGCCGTGGCCACCGGATGGAAATAGGTGGTGCCCTTGCTCTTGATGGCCTGCACAATGAGGCAGAGGAGATAGCCGCCAAAGGAGAGGAAGGCCAAGGCTGTGATGCTTATCTGGAACAATGTCTGCAACTTTGTGGGCTTCGGTTCGGTCCAGGAGGGAGCAGGAGCGTGAGAATGATGCGAATGCCAGGGGCCAGGTCCAGTACCGCTGTCGTGATCGCCGCCGCTGTCAAAGATAAAGGATAATATTATAGTAGCAAGAGATTAGAGATCATAGAAGCAGAATCTTACCGATCAGCCATCAAGGCCATACGCTCTGGCAGCTCCGATACCAATCCCAAACGTGATTCAACCTGGTCTGTTTCCGGACAATTCGTGGTGGTCACTACCGGCTGATAGAATTCCTCCTCCTCCTCAGCCTCCAATCGCTGCACAGACTTCTTCAGCAGCAGCAGCTCATCCACCTGAAAGTTGGCCAGACAGCGGGCAAAGCGAGCTGGCGTGCCAACCACTGTTGGGGGGTTTTTTTTTTCGGATTCGTCATGAGTCCACTTCACTACTGGCCAGATTGGATTGCCCAATCCATCGATCGATCGATCGATCGATTTGGTTCAAATTGGAATGCATACATACCACTGCAAGTAGTCATGGTTTTGGCCAAGTGTTGAGTGCTCAGTGGTTCTTGCTTCGACCCAACTTGCCAGCCAGCGTCTGACGACTGGCATTGCGTGCGCTCGGCGACTACACCAGCTCTGGCAGCTCCAAGCCAAAGCAGGAGAAGGATGAGGAGGGTACTTGGCAGCAGCCAACCGCATTCTTGCCAGTTTCCGTTATGGTTCACGCTCCAAGAGCTGCGACTTTGCTACCAATTCCGGTGTCTAAGCCAAAGCCCAGGCTTCGCTGGGCAATTGGAGCAATCGACGCAGTCGACGGATGTGTGGCCCAGTAAACGCAGTGACACGCTATGACTATTTCTCTACAGGTTATTTCATATTTTATATCAATTTACATTACTTGCAGGCCCGAAGACTTGCATCGCATACGCGTCGAGCATATGGAGCGGCAATTGGCCAATTTGACGGGACTGGTGCAGAAGGCTCTGGTTAATCAAAATCCACAAATTGGGCCACTGGCGGTGCCCACCTTGGATCCCAACTATCTCGTTGTGCCAACCCAGATGCAAGGTAAGGAAAGGGTGGGATACTTTGATGTCCAATTGTGTAAATGTTGTAAGCACAAACACGCTTAGAACGCTTGGAGCGAATCGAGATTTCGGCAGAGCACCGCCAGCACTGCTTCCACCATGTCACGCGTGTGAGATCCTTGATCATCTTTGCTACATGTCATGTCTTTGTCTTCTGCTCTTCTCTTCCTCATCCTTGACTCCTATCCTGTTCTCTCTTAACCAGCCAATGGCTCCGGAGATGAGCTGTACATTCGGGAGAAAGCTCCCAAGCTGGGCAAGAACTCGTGCCGTAAGTGTGATCCCTGAAGAACCAACAGAAAATCCATACGGAAATCGTTCGCATTCCTTGACTTTGCACCTTGCTCTTGCAGAAAAATCCGTGTCCTTTGAGAAGTCCGTGTCGTTTAGCGATGACATACAGGGAATACCCAAGTCGCATAGCCCTCTACATGCCGGTAATTCCTATTCACTAATCACTAATTAGCTTTGGGTATACACTAGCTCTGAGAAAATCTGATAAATACTATCGTTAAAACATTTAAACCATGTCTATCTCTCGCGTTGATTTCTTGTTAAATGTTCTCAGTAGATCCTTTCTTAGTTTACGCTGTCTTTTAAAATCAACTTATTGGAAACAGAGTCCGTTTCATTTAAAGTTTGCAAAAGTACAATTGCCTGCTGATCATTTTGAAATTAGACAAATCAAAACTTAAAGAACTCATAACTAAGCCTAAAATGCATTAATTTCAATTCGGAAAGCTGTTCTGTTTTAGTTTTTAAAAGGTTAATAAATCTACATACCAAAATTTAATGTTTCAACTATTTGAATTTTTTCCGATTTTTCATGTTAACAATGAAAAAAGGCTAAAAAAAAACTGAAATTTTTTTTCAAAAATTAGTTTTTCTCTTTTATGCCTAGAAAGATTCGCCTTTTGATGCTGATCAAGAATATATATGATTTATAGGGTCGGAAATGACTCCTTCACTGCGTTTTGAGCTTCCGACTAAATCAATAATACCATTTTTGAGACTATATTTCGCTATTTTTATAAGACACTTTGTTCTACAAATCAAAGCTTAAAAAACTCATAACTAAGCCTAAAATGCATTAATTGCAATTCGGAAAGCTGTTCTGTTCTAGTTATTAATAGGTTAACAAATCTGCATACCAATATTGAATTTTTAAACTATTTAAAATTTTGCCGATTTTTCATAATGTTAACAATGAAAAAAAGGGTTAAAAAAGCTAAAAAAAAATTTCAAAAATTAGTTTTCCTTTTTTATGCCTAGAAAGATTCGCCTTTTTATGCTGATCAAGAATATATATGATTTATAGGGTCGGAAATGACTCCTTCACTGCTTTTTAAGCTTCTGATTAAAATTATAATACCCTGCAACTCTTCTATGAAAAGGAGTCCGTTAAATTTGGGCTTTTTAGTTTTTTTTTTTTTGAGGGCAAAACTGTCTGAAAATTAATTTGCTGTCAGTACTGGCACAAGAACAAAGAGAGAGCTTTCTTAGTAATATTTTACAACACAAGATCAGAGCTGATGAATACCCAAAGTTTTTCAATGAAAGTCGGATTAGGTTTGAAGAGTATAAAAAGCAAACCGTTTCCCTCTTTCGTTGCTCTCTTCCTTTGAATCATAATGGACTCGTCTCCGACAGCTGACACGAAGCCTACCAAGCCGGCAATCAAGTCATCTACCCTGCCACGCACCTCGTCCCAAGGTAAGAATGGCCCCAACACCATCACGACTCCTAAAGGCATGCCTCAGTCCAAGCACAAGTCACTCACTTAATCATCAACCACTCATTACTCACTCACCACTCACTCAGCACTTATTCATCACTCACTCACCACTCACTCACCACTCACTGATCACTTACTCATCACTCATTCACCCAATCACTCACTCACCACTCACTCACTCATGACACCTCCACGAACCTGTCCTCACCGCATCTTGGTTTCTCTCCCTCCTTCCGAAGAGCGCGATCGCCTCAAGCCTCCACCACCCCCGAAGCCGATAGTTCTGGCCCAGACCGCTCATCCCAACTACCGGGCTGACATTGCTCTGGCTCCCGAGGTCTATAACCATCTGCGTGGCCTGCAAAAGAAGGCCAAGGATTTGCGCATGGAGGTGCGAACCCTGCGACGTCTATCCCAGGCCCAGGCTGTTGCTGTCCGTGAGGACATCAAGGGCACCTTTATGCGTATCCGGGCCACACTCTTGGCGAGCAGCGGCAGTTTTTGGAGCCATCAGAGTGATCAGGACACTACACGGATATCACGCGAAGAAGAGCTGTACAAGCAGGAAGTTATACGGCTGGAGAAGGATCTCAGTGACCTCGAGGCATCGGTGGAGAATCTGCGCGGTGAAGTGATCAATCGTCGCACACGTGTCAACATGACTGCCGTGGAGGATATGGCTCTGGTGCTGAGTCGGGCCAGGTAAGAAGCATCTCTCTACATACATATAAATCCAGGGACTAAGCGGTATCTCTCGTTTCTGACTTTCTAGCAAAACTGTAGCGGAGTTAAAGCTCAAGTTCCCAGCCTTGTCGAACGGCCTGCGCTGCATATTGTCGGATGAAATGGAGAAGGTGGTGCGTGAAGAAAAGTTCCTCAAAGAAGAGCCCGATCGCCTGGAATCGGCACTGCGACGCTGCAAGAAGCTGACAGGGACCCTGGTCACGCTGAAACGGTGTGTTGTCTGTCGCTTGTCCTGTTTATATCCTCATTTCCCTAAACTCTCTGCTTTTCCTCTGTATAAAATCACAGCTTGGCCAGCGTTCAGGAGCAAAGGCTACCGCCCAATGAGCCAACCATTAGCGATGAGCCGCCACGATCTGCGGACATCTCGGCGCAAGACAAGGTAAGTGCCAATTAGCCGCATGCCACCGTTGGGAAGTACAGACAGATAAGGATAACATATAACCCGTGGTGGTGCTGCGTACAGTTACACTAAAAGCTAGATCAAAATCTAATCCTTAAGAAAGAGAGAGCGCTACAACTTCAGCTCCAGCTCCAGCTCCACCTCAACCTCCATATTTCCATATCCATTTCCATTAATACTTATATACATATCTACTGCTACAGAACGTGTCATGTCTATATATACATACATATGTATAAAAGTATTGCTCCTATTTCTATACCTATCGCAGAGACTATAGTTGCTTTCATAACGAATTTGCTATGCTTAAAAAATAGATAGTATTACAACTGCAAGCCCATGTCTGATGTTTAGTCGGAGCTCTTGGCTATTAGTTAGTCCTGTGACGCTTCCGCGTCTGCCAGTTAGTCCTTAGTCCCTGCTTACAGTCCGTCCGAGAGTGATGATGTGTATGTACATATGTTTAAAACAGAGTCCAGTTTTTAATACGAAACTAGAGAACCCAAATAACCACACCCAAACCCAAGCCACCCCACTTAGTTGTATCAACTGGAAATATGACCTTGATTTACCTTTAAAAACATTTATTCGTTTGTAGCCTTTGGTTTATATATTTTTTGTGCGTTTATCTTATGAATAAGTTGCAATTGGCTGTTGTTACATAAATAGTGTTTTGGTTCATCGTTCATTTCACCACCAACAAATGAAAACAAAATGAAAATGGAAAAATCCAGCGAGCAACGAGTAGCGAGTAGCAAGAAGCGAGTCGACAAGTCGGCACAATTTTAGGTAGCGCCCCCTTTCCTGCATAGCACCGCTAAGCACCGCGAAGCTTTACCAAACCCGATCCCCCATAGAACCTAAAGACCCCAAGACCCTGCTCCTTCAAGCCCAAACTGTTTGAGCTTCTGCCTTGTTGGGTCCTATTACTAGAATATCTAGAATCAACACAGTTACAATTACACAACAACAACAACAAAAACATAATAATGCTTAACCAGTTACTATATATATATCATAATTACATGCTGAATAAAACCCAAATCCCTAAGAATACAGAAAAAATAAAAACACAACAAAAAAAAAGTTAATTTTTATATCAGCTTGACCGTCTTTTAAAATGAGGTTTACCTTCGTTTTCTCTTCTTGCCTTTTCTCAAACATTTTTGAATATCGTTTACCGTTTAACCGTTTAACCGTTTTAACCGTTTACCACTACAACAACAACAACAACTACAATCCACATAGTTTAACTGGCGATGGAGTTCAAACTTCAAAGAGGCAATTACTGAGTAATGACTGAAAAATCCAAATATATCAAAATACAACAAATCAAAAACCAAAAAAAAAGGAAATTAAAAAAAAATCAAATTATCAACAAACCAAAAAAGAAAAACCCCCGTTTTTTGAAAAAATCAAGATGCAAAAATCATGAAAAAAAAACAATCAAGTTGATTTTCCTTTTGCTAAAACATAATTTGCTCTGCATTAAACATACTAGTTTATATTTTTGTATACTATTTACTACTGCTATCAACTTCTAACTAAACTAATACTCGTAACTAAAACTAAAAAAAACCCCATATCGAAATTCATCATAAGCCACCAGAAAGAGTACTCCCAAAATAGCCAAAAAAGAAACCAAAACCAAACCTACAAGCTACATATATCCATGTTCTCGTATGTACATATATGTATCTATAAGAAAACCCCCAATCCAAACACCCCCCCAAGTTGAATGACTGTGTGTGTGTGCCTACCACTCAAGTAAACCCCATATCCAAAAAAAGGCTCCCAATTCCCAAGTCCCTGTTCCAGTTCCTTTTGCCAATCGTTAGCATCAGTTTGCCAGTGATCACCCGTCCGCATCAAAAGGATCCTTCTTCTTCTACTTCTTCTTCTACTTCTATCCTGTGTGTGCCCGAGTATCTCTTTTCCAGAGTTTGACGGTGTCAAAAATCAGGTAGGAAACGATGTATGGACAACACCAAATTATTTGCTTTATGAGGCCAACTTTTTATACATTTCATTATTTCCTCCCAACCCCTCTCACCAAAAACAACAACAAATTTTTACTCTTAATTCTAAATTCCAAATTCTAATTCTAAATTCTATTGATAAAAAAAAAACAAGAGTATGAAAAATGTACAAATTTTGTAAAGACAATACTAATACTAGTTTCCATTTTTTTCGTGGCCCAACTTACACAAAAATCTAAAAAAAAAAAAAGAACCCTTCTCCCCCTAAAACTCATTTTGGTGTTACACCACATTTTCTCTAAGTGTTTTTCTTGACATAAACATAATAACAGATTCTAAGATTAAGATTTATATGTGCCAAGTAAGCTCGATTTTGAGATATGAATGTATGTATGAGTGTGAGTGTGTGTATTATATGAATTCCCAATGCTCCCAATGATCATGAATTAAGTCAAATCAAGTCCATACCATTTGCACTCCATGCCAAGATCTCGGATGATAAAATATCGAATGAATGATGGGGGTTAAACCCACAAATCCAAGTCCATATCCATGTCTTGTTTTTTGATTTCATTTAACCCCATCCCTAGACCCCACTTAGGATCCCAGTAGTATATAGTGAAACCTCCTCCCTTATCCCTCATCCGTAACCCATTTATCCCTTAACCCCATATACGTACTCTGAGTTTTTGTTTTCAGTGTGTTCGCTTCTGCTTTTGCAAGTCTTCTTCTGTTGGTGTTCGTTCCTTGTTCTACATGTTGTCGCCTCCACCTGCTCCCTCCTGCCTGCCACTTGATTGTCGAGGGGGTTCCAGGGGTTCTTGACCCCCTAAAAAGTTGGGCTATTAGCCGTACCCACAAAAAGAGTTGAATCGAGTTCTTGGTCTGCACACAGTTTGGTTGTTGAATTCAATTAAAAAAGAAGAAAAAAAAAATGGGGACAGGAAATGGTACTAAACACGCACAGAAACAGATACAGTTCAAGATACTGATAAAGATACAGATACAGATACAGCTTACAGATCATAAAACTAATTACTACCTCAGTGCAGATCAAAGACACAACTCCCAGTCTCCCTTTAATTAAGTGTTTCTTTCTCAGAATCCCAAAAGAATCGGTTTAAACATTTAATTCAACTATTGTTTTCTTTCGGTTTCTTTTGTTGTCTTTAATTATATGTTTTTTTTAATTATTTACTTTGTAGTGCGTGTGTGTGTGCGTGTTTAATATACAAAATATACAAATTAGATACATATTTTATGTATATGTACCCCATTGTACCCTGTTTATGTACGTGCACACCATCAGCCTTCAGCCTTCAGCCTTCAGCCTTCTGCCTTTAGCCTTCAGCCTTCCAAGCCCCTCATCCAAAACATCCAAAATAAACCATAACCATAAACCACTCTTTGTGCCTTACAATTAATCTTAATCAGACAAAATCGAATGGCCAATTGTATTTGCCAAAAAACAGTCATCACTGTTCAGTCACTGTTCTCACTCATCGTTTGTTGTCTTTGAAGTTTCAACAATCTATCAAGCATTTAGCATCATCAATCATCTAGCCCAGCCCCTAAAACCCAATCATAATCATATCATAATATAAAATCATAATCATAATCATAATCATCAGAATCAGAGATAACTCAGTACCCATCTAGCCGACATAGAAACGAAAGCTTAGAACTAACCAGAGGCAGTAAGAGCTCAAGGAATACCTATATCCTCAACATATATAGAGAACATTCTCCCAGATCTATGATACATCATAATAATCGGTTAAGATTAGCTTGTAGACTCTTAGTGAGAAAGAGATTGAGAAAAAAGAACCAAGAACCACATCAAAGACGTCCAAGATTCAATGGAATTGTCATCATATATTCTCAAAAGCACACTCACATACCCCTTTAACCAAAGACAATATTAAGAATAAGATGCATAATACGCAGACATTTCAATCTATTAATATATATAGGAATTTTGGTGCTTTGTAAAGCAAAATTATCTATAAAGAACATCACCTGCTCATTACGCATCTTATTATTAAATTGTCTTTTTGCTTTTAAACCAAACAAAAAAAACGTTGTTTCAAACGCTGCTGCTTCGTTCTTACATACTCGTTCGTTCCACATACATGCTTGCCTGCGCCTATCTACCTTTTATATAGATATATATATATATATTCAATGTATATCGCTTTCCATACATCCTAACTCCAGTTTATATGTAGACCGCTTCCTTTGCCTGTGAATTCTCCCAAGGATCTGGCGCCTATATGTCATTCACTGCATGATCTTCTATGATTTATAAAGCCATGCACCTAACCAGATGCATTTGATTTGTTTGCTTTAGCTATATATATTATCCGATATATAATTGTATATGTTGCTGGCTTCCAGCTCTGTGTTGTGTCCCATTTATAAACTTATTAAATACTATATATATTATATATATCTTGTAACTAAGGCAGAAGCACCGACTTAATGCTTGTGTTCTATCTTTGCCGCTTTTGTGTGTGTTCTTGTAGCCAATCCCAACACCCAGGATGGGGTCGTTCACTCTCAGCGGGGGACTCGCACCCGAAAACGCACTCGATGCTCTGCTAGATGAGCTCAAGACCTTCTCCAAGCCTATTGCCCAGCAGCAACAGCAGCAGCAGCAGCAACAACAGCAACAGCAGCAGCAACAGCAGCAGCAGCAGCAGCAACAACAGCAACAATACGAGGTGAGTGAGTGAGGGAGTCGTCTGGGGCATGCCCCAAACCAAACTAGAATGGAACCAAGTCTTCGCCCACAGATACGACCCGATGCAGCCGATTCGGCATCCGATGAGAGCGCCCAGGCCGCAGTACAAAGCACCGTCACCACGCAAATATCACAGGCCCGTCTCTACACGGAGGCAAATGTGAATATGCAGCAGGCCAGCGCCAGCACCAGCACCAGTGGCAGCAACATGGTCATCATTACCAGCAGCAGCAGCAGCAGTAGCATGCCGCAATCCCAATCGCAGTTAATGGTACACACCAACATGGGCAGCCTGCGACGCCTGCACTCGTATCCCAGTGAATCAGATGGTGAACTCTCGCTGGCCCCCAATGTGACCACCAATGGTGGTGGTACCGGCACCGGCACAGGCGGCAGCAGCACCAACAAACCACCCGTGCCCGAGCGAAATGCTGAATTGATCACCAAAGTGGGCCACAAGCGCATACCGCCACCTCCGCCGCCACGCACCAGCTCACGCAGTCCACTGGCCAGTCCAACCAGCCCCAATCAAAACCAGATTCCGACCCAGAACCAGAATCAGAATCAGAATCAGAACCAGAATCAAAATCAGAATCAAAATCCTAATCCAAACAATATTAACAGCGCCGGTGAATCCTTTCTAGCCAGCCTGGCCAGTGACACCTCCAGTGGTGACAACTCCAGCGGCAATGAGTCCGGCAACGATCATGTCCAGCGTCAGGTAGCACTCGAGATGCGACACCAGGAGCTGCTCAAGAAGCAGAAGTTGCTACAAGAACAATACCAGAGATTGCAGCAGATGAGCAAGCTGCCATCGGTGGATCTAGGATGCACCGCACAGTCGCAGGGACAGGGACAGGGACAGGAGATGGGTGGAAATAATACGCTTCGGAAGCTGGGAAGCGAGACGAATATCCAACAAAAGATAGCAGCTTTAAGTTTAGCCTGCGAGGCTAGTGGAGCCGCAGCCGCGGCTGCTGCGGCGGCGGCTGCTGCGGCTGCTGCAGCTACCAATGGTAGCGGTGTGTTGGCCAGTGATGCTACGAGCGGTGCGATCGGTGGCGCCGGTGGTGGTATTGGTGGAGCTACCGGGACGGCTGGTGCGGGCGCTGCTGCTGCGAATCAGACAACGACAACCAACACCGCCAGCACCACCACCATCACCACCACAACCACCACAAAACAAGTGTACGAGACGGAGATACTTTAACACAACTGGAAATTGGCGTGGAACGAGGCAAAAATTGACATTTAAGCAAGGCTCAAGCTCACACAACCGAAATTGATAAGAGATCTAGGCGAGAGACTCTCACTCCCACTCCCACAAGCAAAGATATCCTGGCAGGTCAGGGTCACACTCCACTGTATTTGTAGTTACGAATCGTATCTTAATCCTGAACACATGGTCCGTTTTGCTAGTAAACACCCAAGAATCTCAAGAAGCACAAGCAGGAATGAATAAGAAGAAAATGCAGCAGGATGGCAGGAGGAAGGCACCTGCAACTACAACTTTACACAATCGAATTGAGAATCAAAAATGATTAAGAGATGAGAGAAAAAAAAAACACCCAGTATCTGTAATTCATAATCACACACTGGGCAATGGTCACAAGTAGGATAAACAGCATCATCTCAATGATCAATGATCACTACCCCCAAGGTTCCCCAGATTCCCAGATGAATGTATTTATATATTTGTATGTATTCGCTTACATTGATGTACTCTTGTTGCATGTTGTGTTTTTTGTTGTTGTTTCAATGAACATTGCACAGAGGGAAAGCGAGAGAAAGTGAAAAGGAGTAAGGGAGATATATAGAGATAAAGCTCAAGGCAAGAGAAGCATTGGAGAAATAAGAGAAACACCCCGCACTTAAACCTAATATATACATATGTATATCGTACTGTGTGTGTTTATGTCAATGCCAAAGCAGGATCCCACAGGATTACACACACACACACACACACACACACACACAAAAGACACACTAAGGAAGAATAAACCCAAAGAATTGCAACGAGTTACAAGAATAATTGCAAAGAATTAAAAGAATCATGAAGAATCGTGAAGAATAGGAGAAAAACCCCAAGAAGAATCATGAAGAATTACGAAGAATAGCTAAGCACAACACAACACAATACAGACAGCCAGTCGTACCAAAGGCCATATACTGAATAAGATGCGTAACGACATACGAACATAAGTCTCTCTTTTACATTTTCTGAAAATCCAAAGAGAGAGCGCATTCTAGTGCAATTCGAGGCCTCAAATTTACGCATCTTAGGCATTATATGATCCTTGATCTCACGCACTGTTATGTACAGATCTCTTGCGTATGAACTTAAAGATATGTCATAGGTTTTCGAATTTTTGAATTAGCCTTGGTTAACCCCAATACATATATATTCCCATATAATACCCCATATACCCCATATACGTGAGACTGATAGTTCTATATACACATACACACACAAAATACACATACACACATGCATATACATATATGTAGCTCATCAAGGATACACAAGGCAGCAGCAGCATTATGATTGAAGCATGAAAGCGATGAGATATTGTTGTACTCTTTAAACATTATTTTTGTTAACTAAAAAAAAAAGAAAACGAAAAAAACAAAACAAAAAAATGTGACTAGCTAATTTTTAAATCCCACGTAAAAAAAAAAAACACAAGGCCAGCCATAGACACTCACACGCTCCTCCCTTCCCTAGAGCTCCTTTCGGAGAGTGTATGAGAGAGATCTGCATCGGAATACCGACGACTACTAACTATTATTGTTTACATATAGATGCTGCCTATATAATGGGTGGTTCGCTCTCTTTTAGCCAAATGCATTTAAAGCTAGAACAAGTCAACATCGAAGGCGAGGGCTCAGACTCTGGCCCTGAGCTCCTTCCCTAAATATGTATATTGTTTTTTTATCCCAAAATGTTTTTCCTAGTTAATTGAGATTCGTACAGCCATCAAAAGCGCCATCCCTCTAGCCTATAAGTATTTATATATATATATATACGGACATATATATACGGTATATGCAGCACACACTCATGCACAGGATACAGATAGATTTGTTCATTTTACAGCTTGGTCTGGCAGTATTACATTTCAGTATTATATAGGCTTATTTACACCTTTCAATACACACACACACACACCAATTTGTTGCACCTTTGCCCGATTAAAAAGCATAATTGTTCACTTTTTCAAGTGACCTGAATGGTAGAACTGGAGAAAAATCGATTCCATCAACAAGGATTGAATTTATATACCTTTTTATTCCCTTGCAGGGTATTATAATTTCGATCAGAAGCTTAAAAAGCAGTGAAGGAGTCATTTCCGACCCTATAATTCATATATATTCTTGATCAGCATCAAAAGGCAAATCTTTCTAGGCACAAAAGAGGAAAACTAATTTTTGAAAAAAATTTTTCAATTGTTTTTACCCTTTTTTTCAATGTTAGCATATTGGAAAATCGGAAAAAATTCAAATAGTTTAAATATTCAATTTTGGTATGCAGATTTATTAACCTTTTAAAAACTAGCATAGAACAGCTTTCCGAATTGAAATTAATGCATTTTAGGCTTAGTTATGAGTTTTTTAAGCTTTGATTTTTAGAACAAAGTGTCATATAAAAATATCGAAATATAGACTCAAAAAATGGTATTATTCTTTTAATTTGAAGCTCAAAACCCAGTGAAGGAGTCATTTCCGACCCTATAATTCATATATATTCTTGATCAGCATCAAAAGGCCAATCTTTCTAGGCACAAAAGTGGATAACTAATTTTTGAAAATTTTTTTTCAGTTTTTTTTACCCTTTTTTTTCATTGTTAACATCTTGAAAAATCGGCAAAATTTTAAATGGTTTAAAAATTCAATTTTGGTATGCAGATTTATTAACCTTTTAAAAACTAGCATAGAACAGCTTTCCGAATTGAAATTAATGCATTTTAGGCTTAGTTATGAGTTTTTTAAGCTTCGATTTTTAGAACAAAGTGTCATATAAAAATATCGAAATATAGACTCAAAAAATGGTATTGTTTTAGTCTGAAGCTCAAAACGAAGTGAAGGAGTCATTTCCGACCCTATAAATCATATTTATTCTTGATCAGCATCAAAAGGCGAATCTTTCTAGGCATAAAAAAGGAAAACTAATTTTTGAAATTTTTTTTTCAGTTTTTTACCCCTTTTTTCATTGTTAACATCTTGAAAAATCGGCAAAATTTTAAATAGTTTAAAAATTCAATTTTGGTATGCAGATTTATTAACCTATTAAAAACTAGAACAGAACAGTTTTCCGAATTAAAATTAATGCCTTTTTGGCTTAGTTATGCATTTTTTAAATTTTGGTTTGTAGAACAAATTGTCATAAAAATATCAAAATATTGATATATATATTAATAAATAGATACATATTCTGATACGATCCTATATTCCGATTGCAAACGGCAGGGATATATAAACTCCTTATTCCCGATATGAGTAGATCAACTCGGCTGTTGGTGCGGATTAAGAATATATTTGAAAAGACTCCCTTAACTTTTGCTGTAAACTCTTGACTAAAACTATAATATCCTTGAGGGTTATAAAAACATTCTAGTGAAATAGATTTTTTTCCAGCTCTACTAAATGGGTTTTAGCATAAGAAGAAATAATGTCGAAGGGAATACATTTCGAGTATTTGTATTTGCTAATTATCATTTTAAAGATTAAATACACCCACAGTCCCGCATTATAATGATTACTGTCGAAGCGAATGGACGGATGGCAGAATATAATGATATATTGATACTGCATCGATATTTGACGATAAGTCGATCTACAAATCGATATTTAATCGTTGCCATATGTCTATATTCTGTTAACATATATCGGACCACTTCAATCGGACAAAAAGACATATTAAATAAATTTTTCCGTTTATCATTCGATATTTCATATTGCTCGATATATAAAAATTTAAAATATAACATACATATTTTCGATTTGATATTGAGCGCAATATTTATATTGATTCATATCATATTGCATTTTTCCTCTTGATATATGTACATCCCTAGATCAGAGAGTATATAGAGTATATACTTCAACCGCTCAAGACATAAAGACAACAAGTTATTTACTAAGTTAGGGCATTGTTTTTTTTTTTTTTTTTTTTTGTATGTATAATTTATTAATATGTATAACATATATATATTTAGATGCAAACAAAAATCACGCAACGAATACACAGAGTTAAAAGAGAACATATATACCATGCATACGATGATATGATATGATTACGAAGATAATAAATACCGAGAGAACGAACGAATGAACGCAGTTTAGGAGGCGTCAGATCATATTTAAGTAAAACAAGTGACAAAAGTGGCAAAGTCAATGGCATTGAATGTACATCGTACATCTAATTATATTCCTTATAAGGCACACTCACACACCACGAGACACACACCACACCCCCCACTTAAAAAAAAAAGAAGGTATTTGCGTATGCGGGAACGATCAGAAAGCGTTACAAGTGCGTATTTTTTTCTTAATAAGTAATAATTATTCTATTTAAATCACAACAAAACCACAACAATAAATATCATTCGTAAAATGGACTCTAAACATGGCTTTCTCTATGGACGAGGCAGGGGTGTATCTCTGAACTACATAAAATAAGTCTGTTTATATTTCCAGCAACGAATAGTCCTTAACTCTATTATAAGATTATAAACAACAAAATCGTTTTTACGAGTACGTATATAAAAGGCACATTTGTATCTAGCTAGAGTGGTATATATAAAATCGTTTACTACAAAGTCCAATCGAGATTATGTTGTTTTAGAAACAACATAAACCCAGGTGAACCAATGTCGTTTCACGAGTTTATGTCGGTGGACTAGAACCGTCACCCCTCTAGGATATAAAATATATAGTTCACGTATGTAAATACGCCCTGTCATGTGATTGTGTCACGATTCTCTCTTCTCTTAGTGTGCTCGATGTCCCTTTACGATTCGCACAGCCAATCGCATGGCAATTTGGGCATTTTGCTAGCTGGCCAGGGCAGATATCCGGCCGTCTTAAAGACCCAATAGTCATACGACACCTTGGCGATTAGGGCTATTAACAAGAAAACTTCGGCGGCTATCAAATAGTATATATAGTCGGTCCAGTCCGGCGGCGATTGGCACAGCTTGGCCTCCTGCAGTTCGATGACACTCTGGGGTATATTCCGGCACCGTATGTCCATGTAGTCAGGTATGTCCGAGCTGCGCTCCTTGAGCCAATTCAGTAGCTTCTTGGCCGAGTTGCAATCACACTGCAGCTTGTTGCCGGCCAAATAAATGCGTCGACCAAGACCAGAGTCCATGAGAGCGTTGTTCAGGAAATATTCGGGTATCTTTTGGGGGGAATAAGGAATATGAGATTGGGAATCAGGGATAGGAATGACAGAAAATATCGATTATATCGATATGGGGATCAATATTTGACGCGAAGGTACTCAATCTTTAAGATTTATACATTTCGAATCAGTACATTCGAAAATGAGCCTAATTACATTAATTTTGTCTGATAATTTTCGATTTCTCAAAACACTTTTGCTTTCAATATACACCCTAATTGATAATTTTGATACCTTAACGTTAAATTTGATCATTTTCGATTTCTTAAATTCCCATATATGAAAGAAATATGAAGTTCCTTACCTTATTTAACGAATTATTCCGCATGTAGATCCGTTGGAAGCTCTCGATGAACTTGGTGCCCTCGAACTCGTTCATAGACACTATCTGGTTGTTGTCGGCCACCAGCCGGTTGATGTTGTGATAGGTGGGATTCGTGTGGAAATAGTCACCCAAACTGGTTATCCTGTTGTTTGTAATGTTTAGCACAAATGTGTTGTCTGGCAGTCGCTGTGGTAGCTCCACCAGTCCGAGATTAGAGCAATCAACATGACACTGTGGCTTCGACTGATTGTCCTGTATAATCATAATGTTCTCCAACGTGCACTTGCAGTTACCATGACTGGGTATCACCGGACAATTGGTTACGCAGCGCTTACGATTCTCGAGCTGCTCTACAGAGACCTTGTCCGTGGATTGGAACCAAGTTCGGGTGGCATTGTACTGGCAGTAGGAGTGTCCAGGATTCAGAAAATTTATCGATTCGTTGTGTATGATCTCGTTGAGAGGTGTGCACAGCATGCGTCTGTTGCCACTGCAATGAATCATTAGATTACGAACCGACCTTCAATTATTATTATATTAACACTTACCTTATATCCAGAGTTATGTTTTTGTTCTGATTCCGATGCGGCACCAGCGACAGGTTGTTGTTCGACATGCCAAAGAACTCCAGATGGGGCACATCTTTAACCGCCCGCGAATGGATCTCCGATATGTTGTTATTCGATATATTCAGGCACTTAAGGGCAGAGAGGCGCGGAAAGGCGTTCACCAATCGCGTTATATTGCCATCCGTCATGGCCAGCGACTGCAGTGAACGAAAGATGGGATTGGACAGATCCACATCCTTCACGGTCATGTTGCGCACATGCAAATTGGTCCACTTGGAGATGTTGCTGCAGCTGGAGATCATCGACACCTGCGAGATGTTGCAACAGTACCAGGAGTTGGGCTTGCTTGGGTGCTCCTTGCACTGGCAGCTATTTGCATTCGGTTCTGCCTCCGCTGGTGGTGTCAGGGCAGCATCGGTTGCTTCATCATTGCCCGCTGGTGCTTCACATAGATGCTCCTCGGCATAAAAGCAGTGCTTGAGGTAATCGGGTACCTCCGAAGCCGGTTCCGCCACAGCAGTTGTTGTTGTTGTCGTCGTCGTTGTGGTCGTCGTGGACGTGGAGGTGGACGAGGACGTGGTTGTGCCTGTTGTGGCAATGACTTCTGGTAAGGGTGTGCTGGCGTCTGCAACAGCTTCAGGCTGGGGTGTGCTGTGAGCTGCCGAGGCCAAGGCCGGACTTGACAAGGTCGTCAAGGTGGGGTCAGTGGTGTTGCCAGGCGCTAAACTTGGCTCCTCCACCGAGGGCAAGCCCTGCGAGAGCTCCTCGTTAGAGGTGGAGGAAACATCCTTTGTCCTATCTGGCTGCGCGCCTGCGCGGGCCACGACCAGCAGGAGAAGCAGGGGAAGCCAGGATGCGACCTGCAAGAAAATGAGAAGGGAGGTTAGTGAATGGGGAAAAGTACCCGAGTAACCTGAGGAGCCACCGTCACACATATCTATTGGACATATGCAAATATTTGCCCTTCTGTTGACGCAGCGAATTAGCCGGCTCTCCAGGCAGCCGACAACGACGAGGGCTTGGCCCGGACCTGGCAATTACGGTAAGTAAGCAAGCAGGCAGGCAAGCGGAAAACCCTTCATGACCGCCACCCTCTGTCGCCTCGTTTTAGCGCCGCTACGCTAATTCGGCAATTAATTAACAATTTCGATTCCGACGATGCCGATTCGAATGTGATAAAAGGCCAATAAAAAGATTAATTGTTTGGGAGCAAATACACACACAGTTGGTGGTAAATTGGGCAACTTAACGAGTAACTGTAAATGGGAGCAACGGGATGCTTTCCATTGCATTGTGTTATTTTTAGCTATTTACAAGCGAAATTAATATCTATTTATTAAATCCACTTGCCGAAAAGGTAACATACAGAATATCTATGTAATATTCTTGAAGATATGCACGAAAATAACTTATTTACAATGTTTCCGAGATTAAAAGTACCGATAACATTGGCCAAACAACGGAGGTGGGGGCGGCGCACAGTTATTCCACTGCACTGCGCATTCGACTTACGTGTTTCCAATGGGAGAACATTACGTTTGGACTTCTTCCAATAACGGCACTCAATAGGGAAGCGTAGCTAAACTCCTTGGCGACAGAACCCAGAAGAGGCTGTTGAGGAATTCCAGTCCCGAGGAATCACACGTCCATTGCCAGGAGGATCGCTTCCATTTATATGATGTGCGCACATGTATGACTGTGGTGTTTGTCTGGCGTTAGTAATATGCTGCGGTGTGGTGATCGTAGCCAATGATACGGACACAAACAAAAGGCCAAAGTGTACACGGAATGAGTTAAAAAATTACATTACACAAAAGAGAACAGAACGCGAGCAGAGCACTGTTAAAATGAGTGCAATGTTCAACAAGTGGCTATCGATATATCGATACACTACGCGGCAGTGTGAGTCATGGTGGGACTATGTAAGGTGGTGTCATGCTACTATGCTTGGTTTTCTTTATACTAGTGTGACACTATCGCAATTAGATTAATTAATTAGATATTTCAATGAAAACTTGAAAGCTGTTTCACATAAGTAGGAGAAATATTACTATACGGCAAGAATTGGCCAATGCATTGCAATTAGCAGCGATAATCGATAGATCTACATAAAATGAACTAGATAAACAATTTAACCGACAACAATATACGGCTCTGGTAAACTAAATATTTAATTACAAAACTAATTAATTAATTATTAAAGCTCATTAAAAGACGAGTTGTCAAAATGGAATCACAGTTCAAACTTTTTGCTGGAGTTTTGCATATATTTGTTTAAACTAAAATGTCAAAAATCATACAAAATTAAGAAAAATAATATGTTTAAACCTTTTTGCAATGCTAAATTAACAGAAATATCGTTTTTGGGTGTTATAGAGGTGTAAATTATATATTGGAGGCATTCAAATTTAATTGCATGACAAAAACTTCGGAAGTACATATTTATATTTCCTTATGCATTGTTTTGAACTATCGGCAGGTGAATATTTTGATATAAACAAATATATGTGTCATTAAAGTAAGTAATCATAAAAGTCAAGTGCAGTTAACCGATATTTCTATAAATTCCGGTTCAACCTAAAATGCCACAAATCTTAAAAAATAAAAAAAAATAATATGTTAATGATTTTTGCCATGCAAAATGAACAAATATATCTTGTTTGGGTGTTATAGGAGTGTAAATTATAGATTGGTAGCATACAAATTTAATTGCATGACAAAAACTTCGGAAAAACATATTTATATTTTCTTATGCATTGTTTTGAACTATCGGATATGAGAATATTTTTTGTATATAAACAAATTTATCTGTAATTTAAGTAAGTAATCATAAAAGCCGAGTGCAATATATCAATATTTCTATAAATTCTTTTCTTCAGACTGAATAAACTTTATTTTTAGATATAAAAAATGTATTGAAATTAGCGATAGTTCCATCAAGTTTGTGCATCTCTAGTCTGGCGCGTTCGGGAACCATTTGCCGTTGTTTAACTCAATCGTATGTTTTTGCACCTCTTTCTTCCGCTCTCCGTTCTCTGACGTCGCTATTGTTTATGTTGTTGTGTTAAACATTTGTTTCGCGCAAAAACCAGAAACGTCGCTCAAGCAGACATCGTCACATCGCGTCCGATTGAGGTGGTGACACATTTCGCTCAAAGTCTAACCCAAGCAAAGGCGCACATTACGAAATTAACACCACGTAGCCCAGAGAGATATAGTGAGAATGCCCATCGATACGCGGGAGCTGATGGAGGCGATAGCCATTGTGGCGGACGAGCGCAATGTCCGTGTCGCCGTTAAGCAGTCCGGCAAGGGGGCTGCGATCTGTGCCGCCTGCTCCTTTGCGGGTGGCATGCTCCTCGGTCCCGTTGGCCTGGCCGTGGGCGGAGCAGCTGGTGGCATAGCTGCGTACAAGATGACCAGCGGTAAGTTATATATATTTATATAGCTGGGAGCCCCAGAATATCGCCAGTCTTATCATTATTGCGTCTTCCACATGGCAACAGGCACTTTTAAACCACTTGGCGAGGTAATACTGAATGATTTGACGGATAGACAGCGCGAGCAACTGGTGGAGCATGTGTCTAAGGCCGTGGCCGAGATTCATCCCACCGATGTGGTTATGCTGCTGCCACTGATTGTCCAGAATGCGTCCATCCAACAGGCGGTGCTCAATACGGTCATGTCATTTATAAGCAATGAGCTGCGCATGCAGATCGTCGATTGACCTGGCGGAGGTGGAGCTGAAGATCCAGGAGGAGGAGGAGGAGCAGCAAACTGTGAAATTAGTGCCGTTGTGATCTGTGTAGGTTTATTAATAAATACTCTATATGTACATAAGTGTCGCTGTGCTACTCCCACTCGACGTTCACCTGCTCCCAATCATCCACAAATGGCTGATCGATGGTGTCTATCAGCAGACCACAAAACAAGCAATCCGATGCCAAAATATCCTCGATTTCCGTCTTTAATGCCGCTCGCTTCTGCTGCAGCTCCATCGCCTGCTGTTTGGTCAGGCTACTGGGCTTCGTCTGTGTCGCCTGCTGTACTTCTGCCTCCAGCTGCTGCTTAAGAGTGCTCAACCGGCGACTGCGCTCCTTGGTGAGCATGGGCAGGACCTGCTTTTCCAGGCAATCGCTGTGGAACTTGTGGCCGCATATAAAGGCAAAGAACGGCTTCACCAGCAGCATCATTTCGCAGATGGTGCACGAGTCCTGCGGTGTCAACTTGATGCTGTAATTTCGAACCTGTTGCAGCTCGGAGCACACACGATCGGACTGCTCCTGGGTCTCGGCCATTTCACGCTGCAGTTCTTGGATACGATGATTGTAGTCCTGCGATTAAGTCAAAAATGTTATGAGGAGCAGGAGCAGGGCATAAGCTATGGTTACTCACCCTAAGAGCATCGCAAATGGCCTCCTTGAAGTTGTCAATCTTTTCAAAATCGGAAAAGAAGGGCAGCAGATCCTCGATGCGCAGCAAATCGCACTCCTTGAGCAGATTTAGGGCCTTCTTCACGTCATTGGTATCCTTGATGTCGTGGTAGGCTAAAGGAATAAAGCCAAAGATGTTTATCAAGAAGAAAAGGAAAAGTAGTTTCAACTGTATCCTTACCTATCCGAAGCCACAGAGCGCGCCGCATACCGCTATCCGTTGGCCTGGAGGCCGTCTCCTTAGCTAGCTTCATGTCAAACTTAAGGGCCAGCTCCACCGCCGTTATCCACATCTCCAGAAGACACTGCAAGAACACACAGGCCTCCTTGCGATCCATATCGGTGCACACTTTAAGGGCATAATGGATGTCATAGTGAACGAGCGTTTCGTCCCTGCCCTGAATCTCCAGATACTTCATCAACGACTTGGGATCGTGCTCGGCGTACAGGTGCAAAAGGAAGTTATGAATGGCATCGTTTGTGGTATTCAACTTGTAGACGGCAAACTCCAGATACCGTGTCGTCTGCTCCCGCTGCTCGCGCGTCTCCAGCTGAATCAAAGTGGGCACTAGCTTTACCACGTCCAGTCGCGAACCCTGAGACATCAAGGACTCCACAGTGGCCTTGGGCAGCTTGGCCATCAGCTCCGGTGCGTATTTGTAGAAGAGTTCCGGCTCGCGTTGCTTGGTTAGGGTCTGCAGGGCTTCCGTATAGCGTTCGGCTTTTAGTTGCTGTCCCACCACCTCGTCATAGTCACCGATGGCAATGGCAAACTGTGCCAGATTGTGAGGATCAGCGTGTTCGGCAATCAATTGCTGGACAGCCGTGCGATTGGCTCGCGTGCAGGCAAGGACTGGGGGCTGGCGCATCAGTTCATCGTACTCCGACTGCCACGCCCGTCGCCATTCTTCGTTCTGGTCGGGCATGTTAATCTGGATGAGATAGAGATCGATCAGCCAGATAACCAGTGCCTTGATGGCATCGCTTTGGTCCCCGGTAGACTCCCCTGATTCCATTTCCGCTGCTTCCAGCCTAGGTGCTTTGGTGGTCAGTCGACTGAGTCGCTTCTTCACGTAATCAATGATTGGTCTTTTATCTGGCAGCACCATAAACTTGAGGCACACCTCCTCAAAGGACTTGGTTGTCTCAGCGTAGTAATCGGCTGCCACCTGGTAGGAACCTTCTGCAAAGGCTGCATCCGCTCGCTGGGCCAGTACCAGCTGTAAATGTTCTGGATTCTCGGCTGCATGGGCAGTGGCTAGCTCGTACTGACCCTTGTCCAGGTAAATCCGCCACACATCGCGTTCCTCACGCGTCACCCTCAGATTGAAGACCGTCCTGGCTGTATACACGTATATGGAGCCCGTGAGCTCATCCCTTTCGATGCTCAGGGGACGTCCCACTCGGGCCTCATCAAAGCCTTCCTGATAGACCTGCTCCTGGTTGAGCAGACAGATGGCTCTTATATGGTCGGCATAGAGGAGCACGGCATGGTACTCCGTTAGCACAAAGGCCTTGGGTATGCTCAGTCTGCGCTCCTCGTAGGAAAGATGCTTGGCCTTCTCAAAGTCCAGGGGGATGAGGGTGCTGCCCAGCAGGGTGGCGGCGCTATTTCCCTCGATGGAGAGCTGTAATCAATGGCTATTTAATATCTATACCACAGAGACTCAGCAAAACTCACCTCTCCCACGCGTAAGCCCTCACCGCACAGCCACGCCCACTGCTTTGGATACTTGCTATTGGGCGGGGCAAAGAATCGTAGCTGCGAGTAGGTCAGGTCGGTTTTCCGCTCCTCACAATGCGGTTCCAGCACTCCACTGACATAGCCCGCAAATATGGGCTGCAGTGAGCGCTCCTCCGGCTTCAGTGTCTCTTGGAATGTATAGATGCACTCGGGACTGGTCACCACCACTATATATCTGCTGCTGTTGGGTACGCGGAGCAGCTTCAAGCCAGTTATGGGATATTTGGGCCTGCCTAGACCCAAATCGTATAGTTGCTTGCGCTGCACATGTCCCTCCATTGCGGGACTCAGCTCGGTTTCAAAAACCAAGCCACGACTGGTGCCCAGCAGTATGGAGCCGGTGGTAGCATCGCTGCCATGGTAAGGATTGAAGGCGACGGCAGTGATTTCGTGATCCTTAAACTTTTCAATGCGGCGCACCTTGAGTTGCTGGGCCTGCGGCGACTCAGTGCAATGAATGTACAGGAAGTCCGGTGAAACGCCGGCGGAAGCGGATCTCGGCACCAGAGCCACAATGAGATGGTGCCCGGTGGGATCAAGGAATATCCTCGTTATCTTGTAACCCGATCCGGACAAATACTTCTCCAGGGCCAGCTCTGCAGGAAGAAAGAACTCAAGTTAATGGGTAACCATCATTCTGGAGCAGTACTTACCCCCTGGCGGTATCGCACGCGGCAGAAAGAAGCGCAGCAGCGTCGTCCGCTCCCCAGTGGCCAGGATGCATACCAGCCAGTTCCGTGACACCGTCAAATGTTGCAGATCACCGGTGCAGTCACTGGGCACGCGTAAAACCATCTTGTGCCTGCTGAAGATCTCCTCATCTTCGTCCGTCTCGAAGGGATTGCCAGAGGCGGTGGCCACATAAGAGTTGCCGCCACTCCGCTCGATGCGGGGCAGGAACTTGGGCTGATTGGGCATACCCTGGGCCATGGCACTCGCACTCTGCTCCTCTCTACACGTATTTATTTACAAATAATTTTTATAATCACAAAATATACGCCCACACAGCAAAAAAAATAATAATGATTGTGCACAAAACTATCGGTAGTCGATTGGGCCAGTGAGTCGCGATAGGCGACTATCGAATATCTGTGCAGCCATAAGATAGTTGCCAGACGGCCAACAGCTGATGAAACTAACACAGTAAACAAAACATGATCATAATTAAAATTTAGCACTAATCACTGTCACTGTCACACACTAAATGAGTCGGCCGGTTTATAAGCGCCTCTATTTATACCCCCTGGCTGCAAGAGCAAGATGAGCGAGAGAGCAGAGCACATGAGAGGTAGGGAGAGCGATAGAGGCTGGCAATCGATAGGAGTAATCGAAATGTGTTCAGTGGGCGTGAGAGTAAAGAGGAAGAGAGCGATACTGGCTAATCGATAGGAGTAATCGACACACCTCACTCAGAGCAGGGAGGGTGAGTGGCTGAATATAGAAGTAATCAAATTTGAATCATTTGGCGCGCTGTAGGGTATGGCCAATTATTCTCGCCCCGTCTCCCAGAAAATTCAAGTAAAAATATTGCAAGTTCTTTTTTGTTTTTGTATTTTTATTAATAATTAGTGTTCTCTTTGTATACATGTAATTATATTATTTATATATATATTTTTGTTTGATGCTTGTTTTTGCTGCTGGCCGTGCGCTCACAGTACGGCACTGCTGAGTCTGCAAATTCAATCCATTATGCATTATGCATACCCCTCTCTCCCGCCTGACTCCCTCTGGTTTGCTTTGCTTTGTTTAACTCTTGTGTTTTTCTTTTGTTTTCTTATCTTTTTTTCTGCATTGCGAATAAATGTGTGGGACGATGACGCCTGCGTATGTGTGTCTATCGACATCGACTATCGACTACCGACTGCTACTTCTGAGTTTGGCGGTTGTGTTTGATTTTCAATAGTTTTTTTTTTTTTTTTTTTTTTGTTTTTGTTTAGTAATAAAAAAATGTACAATTAGTTTGTATACATGTATGCTTCGTATGCATGAAATGGTTTTTCTTCTTTTTCTTCATTTTCATCTTGTTTTCTTAATTGTGCAATTTATTTACTAACGTGTAATTTGCTTGACTTTACGAGATACATAATTATTCGTACGCCTTCGCTTTTCTTTTTCGTTTCTTTTTGTTAATAAATTCGGACTTTAAAAGTGTTCGAAATTACAGATATACATATACATATATATGTTTATATATATTTTTATATATATATTATGTCTAGTAAATCCTACAAAAAAAATAGTAATATTATTAAATGTTCATTCAGGTGTCCTTTTCAAGTATAACTAATATACAGATGTATATACTGCATGAGTTGTGCTTTTTTTTGGCGAAGGGTGTGTGTGTGGGTGTATCTGTGTGTGTCTGCCTCCTGAGTGAAAAGTATCTGAGAAATGCCACCGCATATACATTGTATTTATTTTAATGTTCTTTTTTTAGATTTTCACTGTTGTGTTTGTTTTGTTTTTTTGTTTGTAATTAAATATAAATATACAATTAATTTTAAAAATTTAAATTTTGTAGTTAATCACAGATTTTCTTTTGTTTTAAATACCGAAAAGTTCAATTAATAAACAGCATAGTTCCGAAATGTATTTGTTTTTTGTTTGGTTTTTTTTTGCTTTCTTTATATATATTCACATGTACAATATATATGTATTTGCATCGTATGTGTATATATATAATATAATAAATAATTTTGACTAATAATTTTCAATTATCTAAAGATTCGTGATTTTTTTGTTTGAATTTAGTAATTTTATTTAATTTCCTTTTGCTTTTAACCCCTTAAATTTTTTTTTTTTGTGATATGCGTTGCATTTTGTCCATCATCAATTTCTTAGCTTTATTCCGATACTGATCTCCTGATCTTGTTACTAATCTCCCCCTGGCTGGCTTGGGAGAGTGTGTAAGATACAGACTCCGGCTAACTGATAAGAGATATATGTTTAGGGTAAGAGGCTTCACTTTTACTTTGCTTAACTTGTGTGCAGAGCCCGCATATACCAATCTTCCATGATTTGCCTGCAATGTACAAGCCATTGGAGACTTTTTATACGAGCTCTGGTTGTGTGTGTTTGGCTGTGGGTGTGGGTGTGGGTGTGTCTTGGGCTTGGTGGTTGGTGGGGGATAGTGCGTCATACAAATACGTTTTCTATGTCTAAGAATATCTCTTTAAACGAACTTTAGAGCTATCAACTACATTAATATGATTCAAAACTCTCTCTTCTGATTAATGGTATGAAATATATGTATATCTGCTTCGGTTTATTCTGGCCATGTTTGGAGTGGTTCGGTTTTCTCCTTTTATTGGGGAATGGGGATCGGCATCTCGGCTTGGGCATCGACTTTGGCATCTTACAAATACTATATATATATATATTTATATATAGTTATAGAGGTAGTTTCCTGAGCAATCGTTTCGGCTTTCCTGAGTTCTTTTCCCGACAAACACAAAAGGCTTAAAAAAAAACTTTCAAACTTTAAAACTAAATAATTTAAGTATATATACTTTATGTATCTAACTCCCAAAATGTATCGTGTTTTGTTTTTGTTTTTTTGCTTCAAAAGATGGTGGTTTTTTATTGGCCAAAACAATATAATTTTGAATAGGTGTGTGTTTTTTTTAGGTTTAATTGGATACATAAGCAATACGTATACGCCGTGTGTATAAAGAAAAGTGCACAAAAAATAATACAAAGGTTTCGCATTCACAGTTTCGTCGTTGAGTATCTAAACATAAATTTTGTTGGTTTTAACATAATATATAAAAAGTATATATAGTTTATATATAAAAAACAGCCAAAAGGGAATTTCGCACAAGGAAAATGCAATTTGTTTTCACTTTGTCAAAGATTTGTAAGATCACAGATTTGTTGTTGTTTGCAGTTAGCATTTGCATTATTTTTCGTTTTCTCGTATTCGTTATTCAAATTCTCAAAATAATAATTATAATATTAATAATAATAATAATGATAATAATAATAAGATTAATAATAATTGTATATATATATATTTTTTTTGTTAGAAATTAAACACTAAAATGTTAAATGTAATTTTATGTCCGAGAAAAATACAAAATGTGTTTAAAATAAAATTCTTAGATTAGATTAAAAAAAAGTAGAAGGTTTTTATCATAAATACGTGTAAGTGGAAGAAGAAAAAAATCGGATGCCATGAAAATCCTAGCGATTCGCTACTCGCCACTCGCTTTTCCCTACTCGCCACTCGCTTTACGCCATTTAAAATTCCCATTTCCGTTTGAATAACTACCGACTTATATTCCCTATCTGTATCTGTGTATCTGTATGGTCCTGAATAAATTAATTAAGACTACGAAAACGCTTTAATCCGGCTTTTATCGTGGATGGAACTTCGCCTGAACGCTGACGCCTGACGCTGATAAGGTAGGTTATAGGAGGATCTCGTGAAACCTGACTACTATACCAACTGATTCCCATTCCCTATACCACTACCGTTCCTTTCTTCCCCTTTCCATGTGTGCCAGCGAGTGGGTTCCATGGCACAAAGAATACTAATTACTCGCCTACGACTGTTGCTATTCTAAATATCTAGTTTTCATTATTTTTTTTCTTATCTCGCACTGCTGTTGATGATGATGATGACGAATGATGATATGCCCCATTGCAGGTATATATATAAATATACATATATATCGTATTGTATGTAAGTATGTGTGCTATAATATAAGGTGTAAATTGGTTTAATTTTTGTAAGAAATTCCTGAGACATTGAATTGATACACATTCTCCTCCCTCCTTCCTCCGCACACTACTAACATGGGTTTCTTCTTTAACTTCTTTGGCGACTTATCGACTTGAAATTCTCTATTATTTTGCACTGGCAGCATCACATTCTCCCTGGGGCCCAGACTGGTGCAGTTCTACGTCTAGTTCTAGCTCCTGAGTGTGTGTGTGTGTGTTGGGGCAGTGCAACTGTTTGCTGTTTGCTGATTCTCGCTGGTTATAGTCCAACACGCTGCTACTCGCTGCTTACTGGACGTGCTGAAGCGTGTTGTCTCTGCTCTACTCGCTGATATTTGATTTTGCTTTGCTTACGATATTTTTCTCTCACGATTCGTTTTGTTTTTTCACTTTTTGTTATTAAATTTAATTTCAGAACATTTGTACTTCGCTGGTGAAAAATCACTGAGTTACTTTACGGTTTTGTTTCGTTTTTTGTGTTTTTTGTTTCTTTGCAAAAAATGTTTGTTGCTACAGCTCATCTTGTTTTTTTCTTATCTTCAGTGTGTGCCTGTTTGTGTATCTGGATATCTGTATATATATTTATATAGAGTGGTTCATATAAAGGTAAATGTTGTAAAGTATATACATGTATACATAGACTTTAGTATAATTGTTTTTCTTTGCTTACACATGTATATAAATGCATTTATATGCAGATATATGCATGTGTACTTGTATAAAATAAATGATTTAAATTTCTGTTACTTTATTCGTCGTATATGTGTGTGTGTATATAAGTAGAAAAAGAGGAGACTTTGCTACTACATACTTGATATTTAATCCCTGATAACGTTTTACTTTTGTTTGTTTGTTTGTTTGTTGCTTTTTTTGCTCTTGTTACTCGTTACTTGTTACTCGTCGTCTTTGCAACGAATTCCTTGATGTTTAACATTAGATTTGCTTTAATCTTAGCTCTAGCCTTATACAAAGTCCTACATTTACAATTTAGGTTATCTTGCAATACAAAAAAAAAAAAAAAAAAATTACACACATCTCGCTCTTTCTCTCTCTCTGTCTTACTCTAGGTCTCGCTGCTTGCCGGCAACGGTTGGCAGATAACATAATTTTAAGTTAAGTAAAACTAGCAAAAAAATATATATATAAGGAGGTCTGTTTTTCTTTTATGAGTCTGCTGTGTTTTTGTGTGTGTTTGTTTTGAGCGAGTAAAACCAACGAGTTGGGAATTGTAGAGCGTAGGAGCGGGCGCTGACCGGAATGAGGGCTCAGATTCGAATTTTTTTTTTGGAGGGGTATACCTTTCGGATTCAGATTCAGATGATATGTACTGGAGGAGTTTTTTCTTTTTGAATGCTCCATCCGCTCGGCTCTCGCTCCTTTTTTTTTTGCAAGTGTGCGTGTGTAGTCCTTCGTTCTCTTCCCATTTTGTTGTTGTGTTTTAGTTTTGTGATTAATATTTAAACATAACTTTAAATCTAATAAGTATATACCTTAAACGCAACTTCACGCTGTTTTGTGTGTATTTTGTTTATATATGTTTTGTGGCCTGCTTTCACTCTCG